TTTTTTTTTTTTTTTTTTTTTTTTTTTTTTTTTTTTTTTTTTTTTTTTTTTTTTTTTTTTTTTTTTTTTTTTTTTTTTTTTCTTTTTCTGTTTCAGGTGCAGCTGCCGTTCCCGCAACCGAAGGTAAGATACCGTTTAATTTCTCCTCATTTGTAAATAAGGGTTATTATCGTTAAGCAGTTTTAGCGGGCACTACTTCCGTCTTCCGAGCAGAACTGCTTTTTAGCAGAATCAAAAATGGCATGGAGCAGAGGTAGCATGGAGCTGCGTCAGCATTGGTAAGTACTTTATCTCCCCTTTTCCNCCCCCCCCCCCCCCCGTGGATTAGGGCTCATGGCGATACCACGTTAAAAAAAGCGCGCCTAAAGCTCTACCTCCAGGAGCAGTACCGTATCATTTACCTGATCGGACTATCCTAAGGTGGTGTGGAAACGAGCTTTTCAAAAATTGTTTCCCCGTTCCTTTTACGATGTGTGCTTTATACTGCCGTGCTGAGTGAAACGCCGTATGAATATTCGAGAGGTGCCAAATGTCCTCCGATAAAACGTTTAGTAAAGAAGAAAGTTATGAATATTTTTCCTTGACATTTTCAGAAACTTTAGGTGAAATTGCGAACAAAATTATCTGAAAAGGGAGAAAAATATTTAAACATTTTCCCAAAAATTCGTGATATCGCGGAGGAAATTTGGCAACGTCTGAGGGTTTATACGGCGCTCTTCCTCAGCACGGCAGTATAGCTTCTGGCTGACGTCAAAACCTGAGAATCTTTTTATTGAACCATACGAAACTGTTTTCAGGTGAGAGCAACACGAAGCTGAAGAAGTGTGAATTTTCTTTTTTACACGGAGAGCAGAAATTAACTACCTATAGGTATTTAATTTCTGCCTCCCCACCCCCGACCCCCCGCGAGGGGGGAAAAAGTCCCCCCTGTTATTTGATCAAATAATTTGATCAAATAATTTGATCAAATAATTTGGTCAAATAATTTGATCAAATAATTTGGTCAAATTAGTGAAAGCGTGAGTTTTTCAAAAATAATTTTTTACATGTTTTAATACAGCTTTTACTGTTTTTCAAAAATTTCGATTATTTTATTAATAATATCAAATAAAACAAAATCGGCCGGGGGTCCAGGAGGGCGCAGCCCCCCGGCTAGACCTGCCGGGCGCTTGCGCGCCCGGAACGGCTAGTTTTTGTATAAAGTTACATTCAAAGCCAGTATGCACTAGCCCCATACAACCCGAATGACCCGAAAAGCCCCCCAAAGCCCCGAAAGATTCGCGTTTTTAGCAAATCGCGGGTCAATTTGACCCGGCTTGGGCATCGAAGGGTAAATAATCAGGTGGATGTTTATCTCAGACTCAATCTAGAGATATTTTGGAATCATCGAAGAATAATTGGTTGGTGTACTGGAAAAAACCGAGGTCAACTTCGGAACCAGCGCGGAGCGCAAAAAAGTACATAGATATCGCCACATAGACTCACCAGTTCATATTTTAATCTCTCTTATTTTTATCAATAACTTAAAAACGGTTAATACTTTTGTAGTTCTGTTGTATTTACAAAATAAAAAAAAAATACAAAAATACAAAAAACCCTTGGTATTTTCAAACATGTTTTTGTTTATTTCCTTTTTGGAAAATGCCTTGTGTAATTAAACAAAAAGACGAACAAACACCACGCCCACCGTGGTTTTTCAGAGTTAAGGTCTCAATAAACCGTCTAAATGTTTCATGGTGCTTTTATCTGATCGTGCTATTGGTCAATTAGGAATATTGCTAAAAATGCTGTACCTATGAAAAATCGTCAATTATTTTTTTTTTATTTTTGAATTTATTCTTAAATTACGCCCACATAGAGTATTAAGTAATATATATTTTTTTAAGCATTGATCGCGACTGAGGAGGTCTCATGGTTCGTCTCTTGGTATCACGAGATGCGATTTTTCAAAAATTCGCGGGGTTTTTCTTAGCGATCTCTAGCGGGCATCAATAGAACTCATCTCGTTCCCCATGCGCATGCGCCTAGCCGAAAGCTTCGAAAGTTGCATTTTGTTTTGGTGTTTGTTTATAGTTTTATTCCGGCTTCCATTTCGGAAGATTTTTTTGAGTTTCGTTTTTTGGTAATGATCTGTGAATTTCCCCGTGTGCCTACACCTACGAATTCTATTTAGCCACCATATTTAGGAATATTGTTTAGAAGTGACCCGAAGAATTCCAAGTTTGCGAAGATCAACTTTTTCTATTGCTTGTCCCATCCGCACCGATAGGTAAACTCAATTAATTTCAAGAACATTTATTTATTGAGATTATAATCACAAAGTCATCTCTTCTTTATTACTTTGTTTTTATTGCGTCTCTCTTCTTTAAGTATCAATGACAATGTAATTCCGCCCACTCCACCTTTTATTGGCATATTGTGACGGATACGCACTGTTGGCTACTGAAGCAAGACCTCCGCAATTTGAAGTGAACAATCTAAACTTCATCGTGATTTTTGTTTCCCGAGTGAGAAAGTCTCTTGGAGTCTGTTTTTAGTGATGCTGAAGTTAATTAATAAACTATTGCAATTGTAGTCTCCTCCTTCACTCAACACCGTGAAAGTTATAAAAATATACCCCACGTCTCCCTTATCAACTTGAGGTTAGGATGAAGTTTGCCCAAATTTTATGGAATTTTTCATTTTTCCTCCTGAAAATATGCATTGTACTGCAGATCTCACTCCAAAAATTGGCAGAGTTTAGTCTTGTTGATAATTATCATGTAACTGTTAGCATAAGGTATGGTTAATTTGAAAAGTAGATTGCATTCATGGCAAAACTAGTCTACTTCTCCATGACATAATGTTCACGCCTCCCAATGATGACGTAGTTACTAGTCAATCTGATTAAAATGATCCTTTTTTCATGGGATTTTCATGAATGTTATAGTCAAAATTTTCCTATAGTTAAATCAATTTGAAATACCTAAGAAAGGATTAAGTATGCCAACGTCATATCCTGAACAGACTCGCCCTTAGGTAACATTTCTCACTTTGTTCTGATAATATTTTTTCTTAGCTTGTTTCCCTTTGTCTCACCAGAATCACTGTTTTTATTTTTCCAGAAATTCATACACGACCACCACCTAAGAGGGATTTTTCAACACTCCTGATAATATTTTACTGGAAACTGGTTTTCAGACATCCATCACCATTTCCTCCGAAAGTCAAGTTAGCATGGAGAAAGTTGAGGAATCTGAAGATATTGTTGATGAGGAGGAAGAGGAAGATGAAGATATTCTTGAAGAGGTATATTTCTGGTCTCTGTTAGTGCAGAGTTTAAAAATTTTCAGAAATCATGGGTTTTTATCCCTGTGTTTTTGTCTTGGCCCTCACATGTCATGTTTTATAAGTTAAGAGTGAGTGAGATAGGACGTTAGAGAAACAGAATCTGTCTCAGACATCAGACCAGCATTCAAGTACGAGGCGTCATTCTGAAGTTCTTCGGCCACCATGCCATTGTATTTCTTATCGAAATATGGGAGGACCATGCCTTTTGCGTGTATTCTTGCAAATAAGCTCCCATTTTTAGGCTGCTCTAACTTCTGTCTACCAACTCTGGAAGTATGAGAAGGCTCCATACAGGGCTTAAGTTTTTTGGCCCTTCTCTCCATTTTTCAGCACAATTTTTTTGTTAGATTTGTTTGTTCTCCATGTTTCATCAGTGCAATGGCAATAACTCATTAAAATTCTCAAATATTTGTCCAATAGTCATTTTATGAAAGGAAATGTTATGGAAAGTTTGGCATTGTCATACGGGACTTGCAATATTCTTACGGGAAAAGGAGAGTTGGTTTTTCTAATGTTATGTTGAATCATGATGAAGGACATGCCAAGAATATCTAAAAATCTAGTTGATAAGTACCCATATTTATAAATTAAAAACTTGTTTAGGTCCAAAGACTTGTTGCCTGTGAAAATAGGTTTATTTTGGCAAACTTTCAACTCAGCATTTCATGTGTCGGAAAATGCATTCAATCATGTCTTAGAACTTCTGTCCCTACAAGGACTCAGAAAATGCATGGCCTGAGGGTGCGTTTGCATTCATTTATTCACTGATAAATTTTTATTTTTTTTTTGCTTTTTAACTTTAGAAAGCAAAACATTAACAATATAACTTATTTTTAATTAAAATTGACAAAAATGTTGAATGATCATAGGAAGGAGAAAGTGGTGAAGCAGCTAAGTCCGGTGTAAGTAGTGCCAATGCTGCCCCAACAAGCAAAGTTGTAACACTATCAATGCTTCTCAATGCAAATATTCTGAATCCTGGCCAAGCAGCTCTTTCTGTTGAGTACATGGTAAGAATTTTTTTTTACAGACTCAGATTTCAAAAGTAATGAGAGACAAAAGTGCCTCATAATGCAATACACAGATCGAGTTTGATCAATGACAATGAGGTTGTTGCATGGGTGAGGGATTTGAGAATAAAAAAAATGTAGTCATAGAACTTTTTACGATAAAAACGATGGTGTCGTTCAAAAATCAAGTCCTTAAGCCCTAAAAAGCCTGTCAAAGTTCCATCAAATTCAAGTTAAAAATAAACGATTTTCATTGGCTGCAATACAGTTGGTCAAACTATGCGGGAGTCTCTCCTCGCCGCCATTACCCACATCTTGACCGCGTGTTTATGTAGTGGAGGTTAGGTCAGGTACAGTTCATCTCGAGCTCCGCTTGGCTACAATGATGAGCGGACGCTGCTGGAAAAACCCGAGCAGGGCTGGCTGCTGCGCACTGTCCTCCGCTCACCGCCGAACGGCTCCTTCGCTCCGTGAAGAAAACGGGAAAGGAGCGATTTTTAACTCACTTTCCGACCCAGAAATCGTCCTGAAGAGCCAAAAACCCAGTGTGTAATTGATTCATCTTATCTTCAGGTATCCATCAAGATAAAAAAAATGAGTTTAGTCGGAAAACTCGATTTTTCCTGATTTTTTATAAAACTCATATTAGCACGCAGTTTAGATAGCAAAAACCTGTGGTCATGCGTTGTGAGGTCAGAGTCACATGATTTTGAGGCGCGGGAAGGAACCCCGTTTCAAACCGTTTCTCAACTTTCGACGCTTTTCCTCCATGTTCCAATCATCAGAAATTTTTTTAAAAAATACCTTAACAATCAGCACACCACCAACTTCTAGAAACTGAATTAAAAAAAATGCATGCAACAACCCCATTGCTGATAAAGTGAGCAAGAGAAAATCCTTTCTATTGTGTAAAGTGGTTTCCTGTGTGAAACTTTGTATGTTTTTAATCCTGGTTCTACCACTCAATATCTTTTTATGAAACGGAATGTTTTACAAGAGTGCTGTAGCAGTGGACTTAAGCACTAATCTTTCATTCATTCTGGAAAGTTGTAACCATTTCTGTACTTTTTCAGGGACAAAAGTTTATAGGAGATTTACTGTCAGATGGAAAAATCAGATCAATAGAGACAGATTCAACCTTTGCCTCCCCAAGTGCTTGGGCCAACCATTGTAAGCGCATCATTAACCCCGATAAAAAATCAGGAACTGGTTGGGCATCGGTAAGTTTTCTTTTCTGTTTCCTAACTCTTAGCATTATTAGTCCTTGTTCTGCATGTTATGTACCTAACTTTCCCTTCTCTTCAGAGAAGAAATTGTAAGTTCTAGAGGATAGTGATGGCCATTCTTGGACTGAGAATCGATTTGAATCGGCTCGGAGAATCAATCTGATTCAAAGATCGGGTCAAAAGAATTGATCTTCCAAAAGATCTGTCCAACGATCAGATCTTGCCTGCCGATCTGAAATTTCAAAATCAGCCAATAATGTATGCTTAAATTTGTCATGTGACGATTCTGAATTGATCCAAGATCTAGTGCATTGTGTATTGAGTCAGTACACAAAGGAATAATGGATGAATATAAATAATTTGTCTGATATCAGTTGATTACAGAATAGTAATTAGTGGGTGGAGATATTTGATTAAAATGGATAGTATTTTACTTATGGAGCTTTTGCCGATTTTTCCGTTTCATAATTGTATCTAATATTTTCGTTTTTCTCTGATTGACGATCCGATTTTTCTGCTCCAATCTACAGATCCGATCTACACAAATCGTCACGTGACGAAAGATCGTTCCCTTACCGATCCGATCCGATCTTTTGTGCACAGGCAAAAAGAGCTGAAAAGAATCAGAAAAGATCGGGACGCAAAAGAGGGAAATTGAGTAGGATTATGTGCGATAAGCTCTCAGGAAATATGTTTGTATAGAATCTTCCTCATTTTCAATCAAGTTGTTAAGTTCTAGGAGAAAAGAAACGTAAAAGTTAGGAATTTCAGAAACCGATTCTTTCGATCCTATTCCAGGTGAAATGAATCGATCCACACGAAAGATCGGCGTGAAAGAATCAATTCGATCTTATTGATCTTTTGGTCTCGGAGAATCTATCTTTTGGAAGATCGATTCAAGAATCGCCATCGCTACATGAGGGTTTGAGTGTGATAGGCATTTAGTGTCTCCTATGCCTAAAAGCGAAGAAAGATTGGAATTCAAATGTAGGCAGTAATAATATGAATTTTTTTAGAATTTTTTTTATTATTTATTTCTCAGCTCCAAATGCACCATTGATTCTTAACTTTTATCGGTTTTAAAAGTCCTCTGTAGGCGCTCCTTAAATGAAAACAATTTATTTTTAATTAACCTTTCTGCTTGTAATGCAATTTTCAATGTCTCCCGCTCCTAAAATTTTGTTTCATGATGGATCATTTTCAAATTGACAGATTCAGTTAAGTGAAATGTAGGCAGTAAGTAGTAGAGTAAGTTTGTTTTTAAGAGATGTCTCAACATCTTGGGCCATTTTCACCTCTGATAAAAATTAACAGTACACATGTGAGATGACGAATCTGAAGGTTGCCAAACACAAGGATATTGACATCTACTTACCTAGGTGCAAGGAAGAAAAAAAGGAAGAAAACACAACTTGATTATTCTGAAATTTTTCTCGTTTCAGATAAAATACAATGGTGTTAAGCTGGAAGTATTCAAAAATAAGTTTTTGAAAAAGAAGACGGAAGATACAAATAAGGAAAATGAAACAACAGAGGGTAAGTAGTTTGCTACTTCAAATATTTCTCAGTATTAATATCTGTATCACAGATCAATATATTGATATCCTAAAATTCTATGATGATTGTATAAATTTACATCTCAGTGATGGACATCATCAGATTGACAACAGGGTTGAGAAACAGAGAAAAACGGAAAAGTAAGGGGCAAAGAAACCTTTTAAAAAATTCAGACTCCCTCTCCTAAATTTCTCCTAAAACACTGACATTTTTTTAGTCTTAATTATGTCAGGAAGGATAATTGTCAACTCGTATCAGTTAGAAATTAAGTGGCGGAAATTGCCTCCCTTTTTTTTTTTCTGTTGGTTAATTGCCTAATTAAATTTATGGCCTGACATCCATCGGGACCTCGGCATTGAGAGCGTCGGAGCAGTAATTCGGCGAACAGCCACCAGATACGAAGAACGACTTTTGGCCCATCCTAATGAGGAAGCCATCAGATTACTAGATAACAGTGAGGAACTACGGAGGCTCAGAAGGCGCAAACCCTTTGAGCTGGCAACCGTAGTACCCGATTAACCCCCATATATCATCGTAAAATCCCTTGATTGAGGGTGGCTTTAAACTATAGTGATATGTTTGGTATTATTCTTAGTATGTCTTAATTTTTTTTTTTCTTCTTTCTCCTGTACAAAGTATATGGTATCAAAATTTCACTGCTAAATGTTAGGTTTATACTCATCACTGTGTGGTTAGTATAATGCTGTTCCGGTTGTTCGGGGTCGGACACCGCAGATACCGGGAACTATACCGTTCTCTATGGGCTCTGCGATGCTCCTCCCAGGGCATCCAAGTTAGGAAAAAGTCTGTATAATTGTATATATTTTCAGTCGATAACCGTTATTATTTTTAAGTTACATCTAAATATCTTATTTCTGTACAGAAGTTGATATGTTTAATAAATAAATAAAAAAAAAAAAATTAAATTTATAAGTTTTGCCCTTATGATATCTACGCTATTGTGAGGGATGCAAACAAGATTTTGTTAAGAATGTCACTAAATTTTGGGAATTTTCGAACTTTTCTTTGAACATTTTGGTCTCAAAATTTTAAATTTCATCGGAGAATGTTTTATCTTGACAGATTTTTAGCTTTAGATTACTTTCGGACTCTAAAATCCTACCTGACACTTATTTTTAAAGAAAAAACCGAAGCGGATTTGTTGATGAATCGAATTTTCGTTTCTTCATCTGTGATAAAGTTATCATCAATTGATTTTATCCTGTATATTGTTTATAGAAAGTGCCATAGTTCAGTGTATTTTGTTGCTCCATAATTGTTTTACTGACTGGAATTAATCACTGGAATTCTCATTTGTTTGTTACACACAGATGAAGCTTCAAAGAAACAGCAAGTGGCCAAACCTCCTGCAACCATGTACAACATGCCTGTCAACCTGAATCCTCCAGTTAGAATACCGGTCAAACACCATCATCTTGGGAATCGAACACCATTGCAGTAAGACTTTTTGTCTCTTTATTTTTCAGCAGGGCTGAAGTACAGAATTCTCTGTATTTTTTCCAGTTTTAATCATTTGTAAATTAACTCTATTAGTTGAATTTCTTTACATTGAAACCAACTCTAAAAGCAGGAGATTCTATCCTCGTAGGCAACAATATGGTTTTGCTGGTTCAGGATTAATTTTAGTGAAATCTCTGGTATAGCTGTGGTAAATAAAATATAAATCTTTTGCAAGGCACTTTCATCCATAAAAAGAACATTTTTTAAGCATTCAGGTATGTGCGAGGCTTCTGAAAATGCTGTGCTCTTAGTTTTTCTGTTTTTGCATGAAGGCATAGTATGGCAGATGAAAAATTTTCTGTGGAACCTGCAAAGTGAGTTTAATATCTAATTCTACCTAATGGTCCATTCTCCAGCCAGGTACTGAGGAGCTTGGGTGGCACTTTTATCAGTGTAAACCGAACATAACTAAGAAAAATTTCACTCATTGTTTCATCAATTTGAGTTTAAAGCAATCATTTAACAAGTTGTATCTCTATTTTTCAGTAATCTTAACACATTGGTTGAAACAACACCATGGTCATCAATGGGGAAAATTCAACCGTTTTTGGTAACAATTGCTACAAGTGCTTCACTTGTCATGGATTTCCACTGTCACCTGACAACCAGCGAAGTGACAGGCTATCTAGCAGGTTACTGGGACGTGAATGCTCACAGTGAGTTTACTGAAAATAAATATTTAAAAATATATTTATATGATTTCTGAAAAGCCCACAATGGAAGGAGTGTAAATAATCCTCTTCAGGAAAGATGAGGAGATAATGGGAAGGAGACCCAGTTACTGTAACCCCTTGAGTAGGCTTAAAGCTATTTGAGAAAACCTGATTGTCTGATATGATGCTCAGCATGGGAGTATCTTAGACATGTAGCAGTAGGAGGTGGGCCACTTACTTGTGAACTACTTTGAATAGCAAGGACTTTTTATGGAGCTAATATTATGATGTTAAAAATAATATTCATAAATTTGATTTTGTTTTATCGGTTTTGGAGAATAAAAGCTGCACACATACTTTACGAATGTCTTAGATATTTTTTAATAACTTGTCACCACACTGCTTGCAATTACTTGTGGAGAGTAACTCTGCTCTTGGTTAGAACACAGGTTACAGTTTAACCAATATCAATCTACGCATTAACGAGATACTCAAAGATTACTAGGGTTACAACAGAAGACCTCATCAAGACAAGAGCATTTTCTTCTGGAAATGAACTTTGTTGTTTAAACTCTTATCAAGGAGATCAGGAAGAACTCTATTTGATCTTAGTGATTTAAAGTATTTTCCGAGTTCTGTGTAATGTTTTAATGTCGTAATGTTTTTGTTCTCAGCTGTTGCAATTACTCATGCGTTACCTTGCCGCTGCCGACTGATGGATAAGGAGCTGGCTCCTCTGATTGAGACGGAGTTGAAGAAAACGATGGAAGAGAAAAAGCTGACACTTGTTGGGTGGTACCACTCTCACCCACATACCTCTGCTACACCAACGATTAGAGATGTTGATCGGCAGTTGGAATATGAGTTGGCCCTCAAAGGAAACAATGATGCCAGCTATATACCCTGCATTGGTTTTATTTGTTGTGAGTATTTTGCCGCATGGAAATTACTTTTATTAGTCAAATTGAGATTTGGAAGAGTTTGTAAGTTTGACCCTAGAGTTAAATTTACAAAAAATACTTACTTAGAATACTCTCTTTTGAATTTGGTAGTTGATACTCAGATGATTAGCTTAATGTAGGGTTACCAGCGTTCTGGAAAGGGGGGAAAGTCAGGGAATTTACAATGGCCGAGAAAAGTCATGAAATTTTGGGAGAAGTAAGTCGAAAACCCGGAAATTGCTACTGGCGCCATTAGATACTCTACCATGCGAGAGAGCACATTACCTAGATTGGATTTGATCTTATTAGATCTTTCTAGATTTGGTCTCAACAGGGAAATGTTTTCCAATAATTCCAATTGCAGTGTTGCAAATCTCAGCAGCTGTTCTTAAATTCTTTTAAAATAAAATTAACAGATGGTTCTTTTTGAAATTTTCCGTGAATCCTCTTCATTCATTTAAAAATGTTCCTCAAAAATTTTACAGAGATGTTTTGGTTAGTTTTTTCATTCAAAAATTTTACAGAGATATTTTGGTTAGTTTTTCATTTAAAAAAAAAAAATAAAACATAATGGGAGATTTATGAACACTGCAATGGAGATATACATTTTTCAATTTTAGCTATCGCATTCTTTTACATTACACTTTTGGCTGTAGTTTGATATATTTTCCTCTTGCGAAAGAGTGTTCATAGTTTGCAGCTCCTTCTTTGCCTTTGCTCTTTTTTCACCGTTAAGTCACATAGATAATTTTTTAAAATAAATCATATGTAATAATGAAAGGCCATCTGCACTAATTAACTACAATGTATCATTATTGTTAACGGAAATTGACTTTTGATGAAACTATCCACACATGACTAGATCATGGCTTCTGATAAGTCAGAAAGCATGTCGATAACCAAAGTGTAAAACCACACATCTCCATTTGCAACATTGCAGACTTCCTCTCATACTTTATTTTTTCTTTGGAAAACTGATCAATGTAATCTTTTGAAAATTGCCTTGATTTTTCTTCTCTTCGTGCAGAATATTTTCTATTAATTTCAAGCTATAAAGTTGGTTAGAGGAAATTATGAACCACCGCAATGGAGGCACGTTTTTGCACTTCAACCATCTATGTTTCCTCTCAACTTGCCAAAAGCTATTTGAGACACACGACCCTCAAAGCTGTTTGTGTCAGAAAATAAGAAATTGTCATGTGTTTTGAAGTTTGAGGGAAGTTCTGCGGAAAAGCTGTCGAAGCCGCTAAAATCTTTTTTTCTCTTTTTTTCATCCCTCAGCACCGTACAACAAAGAGAACATCAGTTCAGAGTCATCAATAATGAGCTACTGGGTTATGCCTCCTCCAGAGCATAAACCAAACGAGTATCCACGACCAATGCTCATGAGTTACTCAGTGTCACAGGATCCGTTTATGTCTCAGGACTCCCTGAACGAATTGGTAAGTGATCCCTTTATGTGCGACTAATACTGATTTGAACTGTTGTGTGGGTAAATTATTGCCCCTGCTCATAGCTGATTTTGCACGCAAGTTACAAGGCATTCGAAACTTTTCTACCTCCCAATGAGACATAGGGATAAAAAAGAAGATGGTGGTCGCCCCTTATGAATTAATTTACGAAACTGAACACTGAACGTGTGTTTGGAAATTCGTTCTTTATTTTGACTGGTTTTCATTGTTTAAGTACATGTTATGATTGGATTATTATTTATCATCACACGATTAATGCAATAAAGAACTGAAAGATTTAGTTTTATAAAGTTCCATGGATTTGAATGTTCTATTTGGTATTAACATTTTGTGGATATTGTGTGATCAATGGAACAAAGATCCAATTTCTTAATCCTCCACTCCTTTTCTGATGGCTATCAGACTTAGATGTGCCTTATAAACCTTATGGTGTGCTTTACTTTTTTTAAGCGTGATTCCTTATTTATTTCTGTTTGCTTGAATTGCAGAAACGATGTGTGGATTTCTATAAAAATGATCCAGATTGCATAATATTTAGAGACATTTACCGAGGTGAAACTACTTATCTAGAAAAATTGAAGGTAAGTCACTGAAGTTGGTAGAATGCTTTAATTTTGAGTCAATGTTTGGAAAGTAGACTTTGATTGAACAAAAAACATCGGAACTTCTTCCACCTGAAGAACCTTCAACTGAGCTAAAAGCAAGAGATATATTCCTTTTTGGAAAATCTTTAACTTCAAAATTGATTTGCTAATTTTAAGGTACAATTCACAAAAAATCCATTTTCATCATGCCAGAATTGAAAAGCTGGGTGTAGAAAGGGTATTTCTTGGTCGCAGTGTTTCAAATTCTCCGCCATTGTTTCATCCATTATAATTGAAGCAATTGTATCTAATTGGTCGTATTTTTTACTGAAAATTCTTTATGATTTTACAGTGCTGAAAACGTAAAATTTCAGAAAATTCACCCAATAGTTTCCTCTCTAAAATAAAAATTAGCACCGGAGATTCTGAAACAGTGCAACTAAGAAATGCCCTTTCTGGGCCCAATGCCACAATTATGCGAGACTCGACGATCGTATCCAAGCGTTTTCATAAAATTTTTTTCTTCAGACCTGTGTAATTAGTATTGTAAGGAAATGTCATATATGTAGTTAAAAAAATTACGTAAGAGTTCAAGTCACCATCTAAGTATTATAAAAAAATATTGCTCATACTGCTTCAACTGAAAATTTTGCATATAGCTTGCAGTAATAAAAAGTTGAAACTAGGTACTCCAGTTGAACCTACGAATAATGAAAATATAAAAAAGGTAATTAATATGGAAAGATGTAACACTTCAAAGAAAAATAAGATATGCCTTAATTTGATAACATTTTCTTTTTAAAATAAAATGACCACAATTTCAATTTTTTAATTACAGATGTCTCTGACGTCAAAATTCCCTCGAGATCAAGACACAACCATGCTTTGGAATTACATTTCTGAGCTAGCCTGTCCAGGCAGCACAGGACAGATGACACCGCCGCCCAGTGAGGCAAAGGAAAAACCTCCACAACCTGTCAAGAAACTGCCACCCGTGCCAACACCCGAAGTGACCATAAAACCTATCCTAACGTCCACTTCCTCTTCCTCCTCTTCTTCACCCTCTATACCCTCAGCAAATTATAACTTTGCTGTTCCTTCAACGTCTAAAGTCCCAACCTCATCACAGCAGTCATTCCCGCCCAACATGTTTCTCAATACCGATCTGGCTACAGCATTATTGGCTAGTGGCAAATTCCCCTCCGCAGCTTCTTTGATGGGACTCTCCAACTTATTTGCACAAACTAACCCAATGATGTTCAAAGGACATTCACGAGCAGGGAATTCCTCCCGATCACATTCACCGACGCCTAAAAAACATAAGACGGATAGAAATTTTGTGGTGCCGGATGTCAGAAATTACGTTTCTAAGTCACAGAATTGAAAGAGGAACGAAGATTTGCCTCAGTTGTGAAGCATTCAATAAGGTCCTCTTGTTTCAACCCTTGAATCTCATAAAATTCGTAAGTGTTTCAAGAATCAGTTTTTGCAAAGCTGTAAAAATTTTAAGTAAATTTACCAAACTATACTCATCCATGTTAAGGTATTTTCACTATTATAGTGACTTTATTTTAGAGTACTAACGGCATACAATGCGTTTCAGGACTTATTTACAACAGAAGTTCCTTTTTTGGAGTTATTTCCCAGAACATTTTGACAGTCTTGGTTTAGAATAGAATTAAGTTTTCATGGATAACAAACAAATTCTCTCAAAAAACTTCAACAGGCATCCTCCAACGGTCTCTATTTTTTTGCTTTGCAAGTACATAGATAAATTCAATTTAAAAAGAAGATCGCCATCCAACACACAAGGCTCATCGATTTTATTTATAATTTTTTTCAATCTAAGATATGATTTTAAAGTTGCAGTTGTCATGAGGATATCGTATTCCAAGGTGGACTGAAAGAATGTTTCATTGTTTGACCTTTTTTTTAATAATTTGTAAAATTATGTGTCAAAATGTATGTTTTCTGTCATGTTTTAAAAAGTCTGTAAATTTCTTCTTTGCTGTTTTTATTTGAGTTTAGTATTTAATTGCTGTTTTTACTGTTACATCAAAAGAATTGACATGAGGATTGCAAGAAAAAAGTTCCGAATTCGTTTTTTCTTCATGATGGTACTATGTATCATAGTCACCAAGGGACAATTATTTTGTTGAGTGGCTCAGTTTTTCATCAATGCACTTTCTTTAGAATTTGGAATGGAAAATCTCCAAGTGATTATTATTTTAATATTTTGCTGTTGTTGTGTGGGCCACTAGCGAATGAACAATTCAGGCGTTTTTATCAAATGCCAAGGCAGATATCTAGTAAAATTTTTACAGTTTACAATTTGTGTATGTTTTTAATAAAGACCCTGAAGTTCTCAATGTCTTGAAAGTAAGAATTTATCAAAACTACAAACTTTCCTTGTATATGTCTGTCCAAATGTTCTCGATATATTTTAATTGTGAACATTGTAATGAGTCGGTTGTCTATGAAATGCTACAAATTTCATGATTAACGTTCGTTCAATGGCTATAAAATCATTTCAGAATTCATTATTATGCAAATTTTAACTAAGAATTTTTCTTGAAGAGCATATTAGTGTTTCACTTGAAAATAGCAAAAGAATCAGAATCTCGATCCATATAAGAATAGTTGACCATCTGCAGAAGCATTCGACAAAATGCACAATTGGACTAATTATTGCCTGCAATGTATCAACTTTTAACTCCCTCAAAGAAATTGTCCAATCTCTAGGACCTGTCCTTCTCTCTGAAGCCTATGAAGGCAAATTTTTGATTCCATTGTTTGATAGGTTATTTTTTGAACCTCTCAATAATTTATCAGTTCTAGATTCTCTGCTAAAATTAGACCTTGCTCTGAAGTAATTCCACATCAATATTAGGACTGAGAATCGAGTTGATATCATAGTTTTTTAGTTTTCTTTCAAGAGAACCTCTGGTTAGTAGATTTCATCTACCTCTTTATGTTATTTACGCTGGCAATTTTTTTTTTTTTTACCTAATGTTGCCCTTTTTCAAGTAAAGAAACCTTACTTTTATACCTCCCTCTTAGAAGTTTGACTAATATTATATTTTAATTTGGATTGGAAAGGATGTGGTGAAATTTTCGTTTTATTTTTTGGCGCCCTGCGGAAAAAGAAAGCATTCGTCACTTTCATTCTTTTCTTGTCTCCAAAATTGCAGGTCCTGTTTCAGTTTTCAACTCTTGTATTTGTTGCCGTGTCAAAAGTTTTTTTTTGTTTTTGGTTGTATGCTTGACTGATTTTCAATAGTTCTTGTAATCCAGCACAAAGATTTGTTTGAGTTTCTGAATTTTGAATCTGTTACATATGTTACAATTCCAATCATGATTATTGAAATTTTTTGAGTAACGGCAGCTTAATGTGGCTTTCTGTTGAAACTTTGTCTCAATCAAAAAATGTAATTAACTTTGTGGACCATGTTGGTGGTTGAATTCGAAAAATGCGTGTCTTAATCGCAATGTTGAAAACACTCTGATTATGTTTAATTTCCTTCAAGGGAAACTAATCCAAATGTTTCACTGCAATTTTTTGTGCTACTTCTAGAATGAGTGGCGAAAATTCGGAGGGAATTTCAATAGAAGCTGTCAGTTGGTTTTCCATTGAAAAATAAAACTTGAATGGAGGCGTACAACATTCCACTTTAAGGTGCGCACTTTTACAACTTTAGCCATTAATATATCCTTTCCTGGTGCCAATTTGGGATCTATTATGGGGTGGATTTCACACTTGCAATAACTAATAACATGGTATTAATCTCTTTTAATCCAAATATTCTAAGCCATGATTTCAGTTAAGTCTATCATTAAGCTTGCCGTTGACCTAATCTCAATAATAGTCAGCCCGGTGTCTTTATTTATTTCTTAGAGAATGTTTATCAAATCAGTTATATTATGTGCTTGTTAAATAATCTCCATAGTTAGAACTTATTTTTGATTTTCTATTTTCCCTCTTTTTACTTAATGAAGTTTGTACTTAATATGCCTGTGCTCTCATTATTTTTCTAGAATCAGTTCTTTATTGTAAATAATCATTTTCCCAGCTACTCAGTCTTTTGCGTACTACCACTACTTACTAGTAACTTGGTATACTGAAATGATGGATCTGTGATACGTTTTTGCACTCATCTCACCTGTAATAATACTGATTGATATAATGTAAACTTTTAAGTATTCTGTAGTCAGTTGTTTTTCTTTTGTATCCTTCATGCTCCTTTCAAGAAATGGGCCTTTGAGCAAGGTTTAATAATTCCTTGTCTCCCTCAGGAAGGAACGTATTTTGTTCATGCTGTTTCAGTATTTCTATGGACTTATTCTCTTTTTCATGGAAGAACCATGCCACAAATTAGTCTGAAAATTTCAGAGTCTTTTCTTACAAGGGTAAAGAAAAATCAACAGAAATTTCAGGAAAATCCATTCAACAGTTTTCCTAAAAGCAAGTGAATTGTAAGCGTGAAGTACTGAAATAGTGGAATGGAGATATGTTTCTTCATGCAGGAGACGACAAATTGAGTTCATCTTCTGAACGAGTACCTATAGCTCAACGCTCTTGACAAGATTTTCTTATTTTTAATCACGTTTTACGTCGAATCAAATGAAGAAGAACAGATATCTGTCGGACAATTTTTAGCCATGACTTCCAATTTACTCCTAACTGGCGAATAGGATAATGAATCCTCAGAAACTGTCAAAAGGGTCAAAAATACTCGTTCTCTGTTGAAGAAGATCTGGCGAGTCTGGGAACCAGGCGCAATAAATTTTATGCCTCCTAACATACCTATTGGATTCCTCGATAGCCTCGATTTTTCCCCCCATGTAAAATCGAGAAAAATCGACATGGGTTAAAAGTACAAAAATTAAATTCGTGAGGTCCCGAGGCGGCTTAAGAAAAAGCTCCGGTACTCGATATCTTAAACATTTTAGAGCCAATTAATTTAACCTCCAAGAGCCCTTCCCCCCCCCCCCCCCNCCTGGACGGTCCTGCTGGTACAAGATTGATTTATGCACCCCATGGAGGAAGGTCTTGAATATACTCTCAAGCAAAGGCGGACTTTCGGAAATGTTTTAGCAATTTAGAATTTCTCACATGGCATGTTCAGTATATTCCGTATTTTCGAGCATTCAAAGTTTAAGATTAGCGTGTCTTTCGAGAAATTCGTACATTTTAACGTTGGTTGCCTTTATGGCGAAGTTAAAGGCGAGCCTCAAGTTGACGATTGTTGCCAAAGGTTTACGCATTCTGTAAGGCTTCATTGAAGTAGGTAAATGGAGCGATATATACATGTGTGTCATTTCCAGGGCCGGATTTAGGGGGTGTCAACATGGGCCGCGGCCCATGTTGGCAAAAGGGGGCGGCAAATGCTGTAATTTTTTCAAATGTAGGTAGGTATTGAGAAACAAATCTGATTCAGAAAAAAAATTACAAACGAGAAAGGGCAAAAAAATCACTCATTTCCTGGTATTTAAAGTATAGTAATTTCTAATTTGTTCGTCTTTTGGTGATATGAGAGACAGCGCCTTTCATTAGTCTAGTTGAGATAGAAACCAAACCCGCAATTTTGCCTGGAGCGGCGCGGCGCAGAGAGCAATGATGACGAGGACTTGACATGGAAAGTAAAAGCCCTCGGCGCGCCGCGCCGGTCATGAAACACATGTGAGCGCCTACAAGACTCCATGAATACTTCACGCATTGCGTCAAACGTAGTGCGGTCAGCAGCGGTTGGCGTGAAACGCACAGCGCCTACAAGACTGCATGAATACTTCACGCATTGCGTCAAAAACAGTGCGGTGAGATGCGGTCGGCGTGAAACGCATAGCGCCTACAAGACTGTAGGGATACTTCACGCATTGCGCCAAACACAGTGCGGTTGGCGCGGTGGCGGATATTAAAATCATTAAACCACAGAATGAAATGCCTTCGTTTAAATTTCGACTCATGCAGCCCTTTGAATAGGGACTTGGTGTTCTCCTCAAGAATCTTCATGCTTACCTACCTAATACTTAAAAATGAATGACGCATTTTTAAATATCAGCACGAGATAAAATCCAAATTTTGGCTCTTCTTTAAGATCATCACACTCCCGAAACTTCAGTCTAAACTAATCATTAGTTAAACTATGTCCACATAGTTTGGTTGAGAGTGACCCCGAGCCACTCATAGTATTGAAATATCCATGATATGTATGTGTGAAAGCAATCCTTGTTATTACTCTATATAAAGCTGCTGTTCCCACTCACTCTGCCCCCCCCCCCCCCCCCCCCCCC